CGTTTAATTTTTGCCTTACAAAATGAAGCACCCCTCATATACATATGTATACACAAACATACATATTTATGCACATTTTGGTATGCCATATTCTCCTCATAGTAAGCAACCAAAATAAAGTGATTATGCCGGGATGTATTGTCATTGGTTTTGCCTAAATATCATATGATCAAAAATAGTATTTCTAAACAAATAAATCAACAAATCTCATGTATAGTAAGTATAGAAAATATCTTAATTTACAAAATCAAAAAACATATGTATGTACTAGGACTGGGACTATCCGTGTATTCGAATAACCTGTCAAATCCGAATATTACGGATATCCGGTTTATATTCATTTTAATATCCGTATATTCAGTTACTTAATATACTATGTTCATTTTGTTATTCAGATATTCGGCTAATATTCAATAATTTCAATTATTTATTTTATTAATGAATAGTTTCTTACCGACTACACAAAAACTAATTAATAATTATTATTAAAGCTCTTAATTTAAAAGAATATTGTTTAATATCCCTCCAGAAAGTGAGATGTCAATATCATAGCTCGATTAAGTTCTCAAAGAGCTCGATTGATAGAACCATTCGTGGCATAATTAGGTTTATCTATGTACAAATAGAATATGTCGAGCTCCTGGTAGGGATATTTAGAGGTATCCCACTTAGAATATCGGGGCAACCCACATCCGCAGCTATGACTTTTAGGATAAATGAACAGCAGAGATATTTTTTTATATTCTCAAGTGATTCTAAAGAAGGCAAAGGCTGTGTGAAATTTAATGATCGCAGTGCAAATCTAATATAAATCAGTTGGATGCGCTCTATTCTATTTATATATGACGCAGGGCAGGCCGTCAAATAATTGGAAGCATATTCCAAACGAGACCAAACAAAGGCAATAAACAATTTCTTATGTTTATACGAATCCAAAAAATCTGAACTGTATCCACGCGCAAAAGCTAACATGGAGTACATGGAATTTGCACTATCAAATTAATATGGCCTACAAACGTGAGTTCCGAGTCAAAATATACTTCTAAACCTTGAACCCTGTCCACGAACTTCAAATCGATGGCTGAGTGGAAGATCGACCTATCTCGGCAGCCAGTTCGGAAACGCCCTATCTCAGAAACATTTTCAAAAACGCCCTACTTCAGAATTTGATTGAAAAACGCCCTATTTCATAATTCGGTTCAAAAACGCCCTATCTCAAACGAAAATACATTGAAAATAACCTGAGATAGGGCGTTTTTGAACCGGCAGCTAAGATAGGGCGTTCTTCAACCAAATTCTGAGATAGGGCGTTTTTCAATCAAATTCTGAAGTGGGGCGTTCTTGAAAAGTTTTCTGAGATAGGGCGTTGTTGAAAAATTTTCTGAGATAGGGCGTTTTCGAACTGGCTGCCGAGATAGGGCGATCTTCCACTCAGCCATCGAAATGGGAACCAGCAATAGTAGGTGCATTCTTTTGCAACCGAGCTACAAACGAACACTCGCTTAAATGACGAAATACGTGCAAAGCACCAACACAAACTCGGCTATTTATCCGAGTTAAGCCAGGTCGGTTGAAAAATAGTGTTGTTAAGTGAAAAAACTGCTATATTGCCAATTGTTAAGGGGAAAGTGGAGAGGGAAATTTTTGTTTCCTTATATATGTCACTTATATTATATTAAGTCAGTCAGTACAAATTTGATACCCAGCCGTAAAACTTGCCAAGTCAGTCCTCGGTAAAAATTGCTACATTAGAAACGGTGGATCTCGGTTACAGGCTTAATGAGAGCCGGACAATTTTTAAAAAGAATGGCACATAAACCTTGGATATCTGTTTGGGTTGATGATTTCGGGGATGCAATACGATTTTGCACAAGGGGCCAAAAGGTAGAGGACAATCAGATGCGCTTGAAGTCTTTAGCTCCAACGCATCATCTGCAACATAATTGGCACTAAAAAATCAGCAAACAGATTAGCATCATCAGATTTAAATTTTTTAGATTTAATGAATGACCAAAGAGCTTTCAATATTCGAAGTTTTTGATACATTTTTTGGAGGATTCTAGCGATTTTTCTTAACTCAAAAGAACAGCGTTTATAACTATCGAAATACGAAGCATTATTCGACGCTTTGAATTTTATATATAACTTATTGCAAAGATTTTTGAGATGCTTCAATTATTTTGTGTACCACGGAGACTTGCAATTTCTGTTGGGGAAATACTGGAGTATGTTCCAAACACAAATTATGCATCGTAGACCTATACAACTGAAAACTGTAAAAAGGCCATCCCAATCAAGCTCTAGTAGTAGATTATTAAGGTCTTCAAAATTGCATCTATTAAAATTATAACTAACATGGTCACTTCCCAGAGAGATATAAGAAAAAAAAAACTCGTAGAACTCTATAGTGTAGGAGTATGATGAATGTCAGCCCGACAAATTGGCGAGCAGCACTCAAAAAGCTTAAAGTTCAAATTGCTAGATATAGGTATTCGGATATCCGGATTGAAATCCCAGCCCTAATATGCAGGCATCCTTAATAGATACAGGATTAATTATTAGTAACATTCCCAAAAAAATTAATACGGCTGTCAAACTTACTCTAAGCTATTCGAGTCCTCAACTCATTTGTAGTATGTATCTACACTCAGTAGCAAAACTCATTGCGGAATAACTCCTTAAAAAATTTCTTTTTCTTTTTCTTTACAAATTCAGCGAAAGTTAGCACCAGCAAATATACAAACAAAATCTTAATGCCAAATGTATGTTTCTGGTGCCTCGAATTTGAGATTAAAACGAATTGCGGTGGAGTATTTCGACACCTGAGTGGAAGATAGACCCATCTCGGCAGCTATTTCAAAAGCGCCCTATTTCAGCTAAAAATGTTATGAGGTAGGGCGTTTTTAAATCGGCAGCAGAGATAGGGCGTTTTTGAAACGAATTCTTGAAAAGTTTTCTGGAATAGATCGTTTTCGAACTGGCTGCCGAAATAGGTCGATCTTTCACTCAGGTGCCGATATGTAGTTGTATATGCATAGTAATACAAATATACATATAAATGTATATATATATACACTTGTGGTCAGCTGATTAAGCCAAGTGACTTTTTTCTATTTTTCTTTCGTTCATTTAATGTTTATATTTTTTTTATAAAAGTTTAGCACTTTACCTAGCCAGTGCCACATATATCCACATTACCAACTTCCTTCGTACAATTATGAAAATTCAACAAACTTTAAAAAAATTTTAAACTTTTTATTTAGTTTTTAAAAATATTTTGGGTATGCTTTTTTGTAGCTCATAAAATTTTTTAGTTTAAAATGCAAATTTCAAGACGCTAGAAAATCGTGTTGATTTTTAATATTTTTTTTTTTTGTTTGGCTGACGGTGTTGTGCATTTTCTTCCTTATAAAATATGCTCGACAGTTTCGTCTGTATGGGAGAAAATGCCTAGCACCATTAGCATAAAAATCATTAAAAATCAACGCGATTTTCTAGCGCCTTGAAATTTACACTTTGACCTACTAAAATTTAATGAGCTACAAAACTGCATACCCAAAATTTTTCTAAAAATTCTGAATAAAAAGTTTAAAATTTTCGGGTGCAAAGTTGGCGCGAAGTTTGAAATGTGAATTTATGTTGGGCTGGTTAGGTAAAGTGCTAGACTTAAAAAAAGAAAGTATAAACATTAAATAAACAAAAGAACAATAGCCAAACCTAGTCAGAATGTCACTTGACTTAATCAGCTGACCACAAGGGTACATGTATATATGTATATATCCACTTGAATTGTATTCCAAACAACTTTAACGCCTTTCTAAATATTAACCATTGCTTTAACGGTGAGAAGATTGATTTGGTATTCGGTTGTAGTGCTGCTGAGTGGAGCGTGATGATAATCATTTAAAAATGTTTGCTTCAAACATGTATACGGGTTGCAATAATCAGCTTAATTAAAAAGTAATTATTTACTAGGATGCATAAACCAAAACAAAAAAAAAAAAAACTTTGTCCACAAACGCTTCCATTTGAACTAAGTACAAGATATTCAAATTGCAATATGTAGATACTTCAAAGGTCTTATATATTTTAGGTAGTATACATACGTAAATGTGTACATAAATATTTTTGTGAGTATGCATGTGTGTGTGTGTAGTAAGAGTTAAGTCATTATTATTCCTGCATTCAAATATGTATGTACTCCAAGGTAGTACAGAAACTAGTAGTTCACCAAAATCTAACAATAAATATATTTATAGTATATGTAAATTCAATAATTCATGGGGCAATTGGCAAAAGGAACAATAAATAAAATGCACAACAAAAACATTGAACAAAAACAATAAGTAGTTCGGGCGAGTAGATGAGAGGTTTTAAAGGGAACTATTTATTCACTCGTTTATAGAAATATTAGTAATTAAAATTGAATTTGACAACTATTAATTGAAAAAAACTTTTTGATAGCAACGACATGGAGCAAAAAAAGAAAATAATCACTAGCATTTTTTACGGAACTTGTTGAGAGCACTTTTAATTTTAAATTTACCGATTCTAATTATCGACCAGGAATTATTTCTATCCAATACTTTAGTACGGAAATATTGTACATTAAAGTGGGATTTTGCACTCCTTTTCTACACAAGTCATAGAGAAGAGGTTCCAGCAGATAACTTGTTTTATGGTTGAAAGTGCGATTAATTTTTTTGAGATATCCCTTATTGTCCTAACTAATTGAACGAAGAACCTCAAGTTCAAAAATGGGTCTGCATTAACTTCTTCTTAAAAATTTGGCGCATTATAAATTATGTTTTGAACCTCAACAATCGATTTATGTAGTAAAAATTAGTTCTTAACGATTTGAATATGTGTGTACGGATGTGTGTTCATAACCGCAATGAATGTCTTCGCATAGAATCTTTTGTATTACAAATACGTGTAGACCGACCTTCAATCGATTACACAAATGAACAAAACATATTCAAACTAAGGCGTTCGCTTACCTTCTGGCCATTGCACGCACACTGCCAGGCGGCGAGACAAATTCAGCAAATCCATTGGTTGGGTCGTATCCGTTCCGTTGAAGTAGTTGGCAATTATCACCGAGTCGGAGAGAATATTTGTGGCACGATGTGGGAAGAAGAGAAAGAAAACAATATATTAAAATTCTCAAATACTTACTTATATGTATGTATGTACATCGATCAAAGTTTCAGTTCATTTTAGGCGCGAGTACGGACTTATGTATGTATGTATGTAGTTAGTAAGCGTGGGTCAGAGGTATAATGCCATAATGTGCAGGCGTCATATTTCTGGCATCTGGCGTCTATTTAATATTATTGCGATTTATGCGATTTTGCAGAACTTTGCGTTTCGCACAAATCGCTCAAGCCTTGATGCAGAAATGACTAATAGGCAAGCAGGTGTTCGCCAAGTAACAATTTGAAGGAGCGGCAAATTTAGCACAAATGTGCATCACCGCACGGCAAAGGCAGACTATTCACATTATGGCATGACACCCTAACCCTATATGTTGCAATTGACCAATCATTTATAAGTATTTATATTTAAATTAGCGAATGAGTATATACATCGCAAACAAAATATATTAGTGCGATTCATGAAATGTCGCAAAATTTTCCACCATGCGACACAGCCGATTGCTTTTGTAAGAAAAATTTCTTGCGACAAAAATGCAACACTGCCAGATTATTTCGACAAAGTCGACGTTTTTTTTTATTTTCCTCGAATACTTCAAGAAAAGTAGTACACGTACATATCAGTTACGGCTGCTTTGAAATATATGTAATTGTAAAAACTTTTCTTTTTACTTCCGGATTTGCGATAGGTCGTTCATATAATTTTGTTGGAATGTTGCCATTTCGCCAAAATTGAATCGCACTATTATTATTTATGTCATTCCAACCAGGGACCGCAAATAACTGTTATGGGTGCAAATTTGTACCAAATAAATCATTTTCCGGAAATATATGATGTATTAGTATATAAAAATGATCGTCTTTTAGAGATCTACTTAATCATGCAATAAACCTAAATTTTATAATTTTTATCATTTCCCTCAAATTTAAGAATTATTTCATGAGTTCTATGTTTGCTCGCAAGATAACACTTACTTGTGAGTTTTAATTTTCTTTCAACAGAAAAACTTATGCGGTGAGTTTTATTTTCACCTTGTAAGTTTTATTTATCGTTTAAAAATAATTGTTATTTCAAAAGTTTTACTTAAAAATCACTGACGCTAGTTTTCAGGTCAAAGGCGGTGGCACAAAAGGTGGTAGTTTCGGGACCGGTTTTCAGCAAAAAATCAGATGTTCTGTTTGTGTTTTTTCGGACGTCATTTCCCATGAGGAAACTCTTGTTATATCTTGTTTTACAGCTTAAAATGGGAACGAGCTAAATAACGTGAACATGCCATTACCGTGTTTTATTTATTTGCGAAATAAGAATATAACAAATATTTTCTCATAGAAAATGGCGTCCGTAAAAAACACAAGCAAAACAACTTTTTTGCTGAAAACAGGTCCCTAAACGGCCACCTTTCGTGCCATCGCCTTTGGCCTGAATACTAACGTCAGTGATTTTTGATTAAAACTTACGAAGTAACAATTATTTTTGAACTCATTTATCGTGTTATTTATTGAAAGAAAAATAAAACTCAGCAAGGAAGTGTAATTTAGCGAGCAAACATAGAACTCCTGAAATAATTATTAAATTTGATGAAAAAGATAAAAATCAAAAGATAAAAATTAAATAATGATTTTTTCGATATCGCTTATAACTGTTACGGTCCTTGGTTGCAACACACATACGTACTGCAATACTTTTTAGACAATTGCCAGAGAGTAACCATGCCAGCATAAGAACACAAGCTCGGCACTTAACTTCACACATGCAATTCAAGTTCCACACTCTTGCATTTCAACACGAATTTAATTTTCTTGTAAAAAGTATGTGTATAGATATATGTAGGTATGTATGTATGTATGTTTGGTATGTATGTGTTCAAAAACTCTACAATATTATTGGCATATGTTAAACGACAATTCGAAAAAGTTTAATAGCCAGGCAAAAAACGCCAAAACACGTAAACTTAACTTTGAGTCGTACATTACGAATCTTTATTCTGTTTTCCTAGATCAGGTCGATTGCCAAGATATTTTCATTTTTATGAAAAAAATTCCAAATTTAACAGGGAAAAATGAAAAAATTATAATTTTTTTTCATTTGTATTAAAGGATGTTCTCTTACAAAAAGAAAATCGATGAATAAAAAAAAAAAAAAAAAAATGTGAATGGTCAAAGAAAATGCGTAGAGATTTTTTGGATGAAATACGAGCAAGAGAGAATGTTACTCATACGCCATGTACATACATACAAGGTCATACTCGTACATGGCATTTGGGTAACATTTTACAAGTTGAAGTTTGATTTTTCTTAAAATAAAAATATCTTTGCGAAATGACCTGATCTAGAAAAACGGTATGCAGATCCGCAATCTACGACCCAAAATTAATTTTACGTGTCCCGCCGCTTTTTTGTGTCATTTTAGCGTTTAGCGTTTTTACAGTGTAATATACAGAATTATTCCAAAATTTAAATTTTGTGGGAAAACGTAATCAAACGCAAATTTATACAGATGATATACAGGAAGGCAGATGAAAATACACATATCTTTGCCATTTTTGGGAAGTTTAGGCTGAACATATTCTCCTTATCAAGCTTATTAATTCTATGATTAAATCACCAACATCGTAAATTCTAAATAACTTCTCTATCTTATTAAACGTGCGATTTATATATATAGAGTGAATCCCAAAACTTAGGCCAGTATAGCAGAAGATGCGAACTCTTATAGAAGCTAATGTAGACTAATAAATAGCACATGAAGTGGCGGCATGTCCGTGCCAAAATATAAGCATACATAAATACATTTCCATGCACAGTTATGAAATCCTAAAAATTTGGCCAAAAGTCATAAAACAAAATTAAAGTTTTTGAATTCTTAACATTCGGAATTGGCAAAGTATTCGGATATCCTTTCGAATATTCGTGCATACGGATAAAATCCAGATATTCATATTGAATAACTCAGTGAGAGGGGAGACCAGTATGTTTGCATGTATGTATGTATTTATATATAAAAAAAAATATGTATTGGTGCAGAAATTAAATTGAAATACCTTTATTTCTAAACTATACGCATGAGCGTTGCCAACTGTTTAAACAAATTTAAGAAAATCTACCTCAACCTAAACTAAGGGAACTAGAAAATTGAAGTATGTATCCGGATGTGGGTGCCAGACGAAGGATGTTGTGGTTTGAAAATATTTTGAAGAGAGTTACCACCTGTTTACAAAGTTTAATTCAATTTATGTAATAGGTTTAATAAATTACTTCAACATAAATATAAATCAAAATTGCTTTGAAGAGATTTATTTCGAGGGTTGCAACCTATTTAAAAATTTAAATTCCACTTTAGTTACGTATTTTATGTTTAAAAGATTAGCGGCAGTGGCCTCAACACAGCACGCAGGTCACTACGAAGGGGCGGGACTGATCCTTTTTTGTTTGAATGTTGCCCGGAACTGCGATCGAACCTTCGACCCACCGATTGGTATTGCGCACCTCTAACCGCTCGACCACGCCGGCCAATAAATACGGTTACCTCTTCGATCTTCGAGACCGTTGCAGTTCAGTTTCAGAGGTATGAGAGAGTGATTTACCTTGGGCCAGTTGCGCTTGTCTCTATGGATGTTGATACCTGGTAGGAGTTGGCTGCGTCGATTACGTCGACGAATGTGGCCGTAGAACTCTGCAAACGGGAGGCGTGGAGGATTGGGTTGATCCTCATGTGAGCTCCGTGAAGCCGAAGGTGCTCTTTGGGTGCCTATACGCGAGTTAAGGGGTTGTATAGGCGGATGGTGTCATAATGCGTGAAAAACATGGGGCCCCATACCCCTTAGTCCACTCCCTGTGTGACGTAAGGCCTGAACATGCTCTTAGGTAGCTCCATCCGCAAGTATTGCAATTAACCGAAGTCGAGTTCAGATGGGGGCGTCTCTGGCATGAGCAGCATAATCAGGTTTCTGGTCCGGGGTTGGGCTCAATGCCTGCCCCGGGAATGATGCGCCGTGGCTCCATGGGCGTAAAACGATTGATGGAGCTCGCCGATCTAAACGGGTTTAGGTCGCCGAAAAAACAATCCTCGGTCGAGAAAAAAAAACCCAACCCATGCTCATGACATTCTAGTGATTCCAAGGAATAAGTCATATTTTGCTAGAGCTACACTGAGGGAAATAATGCATAAGGGCTATTCGCGATTCGGTGCATAAGAGCTGACAAATTTATGCAATTGCAGAAATATGCCATGGATTGTGAGCGACCTTTATTAAACTGTCATGGTAAAGCTTTTGCAAAACAATTTTTGTGCATCAGCTTTGGTTTTGTTTATGAATGCAATGCATAGCATTTTTATGCAATGGATTTTCGGTATTGCAAATTTGCCAAGCCATGACAAATGCAAATGCGTGTATTTTGTTTGTGTATTGCAAATAATTTGCAATACAAATTTGCAATGCAATGATGCTAGGCCATTTGCACCGGATCGCGAATAGCCCTATAGTAAAAATGAATACTTTATATTTGATTATCGTTTAAAAATGTTCAAATTTAGAAATAATATTTTCATACAAAATTTATTATGCACGTATTTGACTGTTCACATCTGAGTAAATATATGAGTGTACATACGCACCCCAAGCATGCAGAGCGCCGCTCTGAGAGCGGTGACAACACACATATTCATACATAGTACATGTTTATCCGTACAAATCGCGTGCTGTGGTGTTGATGGATATTCAACATTTGAAAGCAAATTTATGTATATGCCTGGGTGTAGCTGAGTGCGCAAAGATGCATGCCACAATTTGTTGATATCCAGAGATGGTCAGGGTTCGAATTCCACTGCAGGCAACATGCAAGTTAAATATTTTTTTTTTTTAGTTGTTGTCTTGATTATCCACTTCAGAATATTTGAATAATAATATTTGAAATTTACAGTACTTTCGCTGACGTTTATAGTAAGATCAATTACGTTTCTATTTGATTTTAATATTTTTTTCCCTCAGAAGACAAATCTCAAACTAAATACTGTCTGCATTGAGAGTGGAGGCCCACATGCAATGTATTTGCAATGTATTGCGGCTAATTGTAAAAACACTATGACCAGGTCGTGGTCGTGGTCGTGGTTTAGACGACAAACTGACTGTCGAAACAAACTCATGCGAATATACCGGAGCGTATATTACTCTCAGCTTGCTACTCCCCTAACTAACAAGCCTACTGGTACGTCATGCTAAATTCATGCATGTTTGTTTTCGTCAGTCAGACAGTCAGCTGCAGACAAGTGGAAAATGTGCACCAACATTAAAGAAAAGTTAATTTCAATTGAAATAGAGCTGTAACTATCGATATCGCTACTACATCCATAGATTTTTAACCTGAGAAGTGCATATGCGGAAATTTCGTAGTATGTATTTAGGCGCTAGCAGTTCGAACTAGCCTAAACACCGTCCATGTCCTGTTTTGGAGTTCTTTTAATTTGTTTCAAATCTGCCAGATTTTCGATTAATTGGAACAAAATTGTTGGGTGTCAAAGAACTCTAGAGATTTTGGTGAATTAATAATGCACATTTTAAATATGTACTGAGCACGATCCAAATGTTGCAAAATGCAGAGCAGATACATCGTAGTCGTGACTGACCGCATTAATTTACACCACCCTCAAGCTACTTGTGTCGTTATCCCAAAAGCCACTTGATTCATTTAGGTTCTCTTTAAGAGACCGGAGTACATTTGATTTGACAACTTTTAAAATACAAAAAGGAAAAAGATTTACATAACTGCGTTTTGTGTCGGTCTTCCACCACCTTTTTGCACATTGAAATGGCCTTTCTTGGGTTTCGGAATAAAAACGTTTACATGCAACACGCAATATGTAACATGCAACATGTCATGCCAGATGCAAAAAAACTGTCAACAAGCTTATAAATTATGTATGTATTTACATATAGTATATGGAGGAAATAGTTTACTTGTTTTGTAGAGCTTTTAAGGTGCTTCAAACTTTTTATATTTACATAATGTTTTTACAAATTTTCAAATTTCAGCAACCAACAATGAAATATTTTGCACATTAGTTATCTAAGGTAAAAAATCTGCTCACCTAGAGCTTGAGCCGGTATGGCACCGTCTTTTGTCAGTACAACTGTGTATGATTCAGAAACAAAAAAATATTCAATATAAAATTCAGTTCAGCACAAAAATTTCGTTAACTATTTATTAAATAAGTTAGTAAACACAAGCATCGAATATGAAAATCTTGCAAATTTGGCATGTTTTGGCTAACAAATTGATAACGTATAAACCAATAAATTATGCAAATCATGTTCGCTTCACTGTCAAACTATTTACGAGTCTTTTTCGCATATAAATTTTGATGTGTTGTTGGCATTCAATGAAACGTCCAGTTCTAAACATAAATTGCAGCATTTTCTCTCTAAAAGTCGCACATCGCCAGTACGCGGATTGTTTAATATGTATTTCCAAATATCTAAACAGCGCGATTTTCTTGTTTCTTCTCATACAGGTTTTTTGAACTAAAAAGTTTTCGCAAAAATTCTTTAGGATTTTCCTGGAAATATGAAGTCTTGTCTTATTAACAGAACAACTTTTTATATGCAACTCATCTCTGCCTTAGGTCGACTTGAGCGCCGATTGTTTCTAACCACAGAATTATCTCCTCAAGCACATCAAACAAAAGTTCTACGATTTTCAGCTGGACTAACAATAATTTCAAATCTATTTCATTCATAACGTTTTTTTTATTGATTTCACGATGGCCTTCTGAATTGGCGCGACCTGGGCCTATGGTAATTTATTAACGAAAATTAACGAAACGATATATCGAAAGGAATGTTAAAAAATGGATGCCACTTCTCAGTTTCATGGCGTACATCAGCTCAGTAGAAAAAAGACTCGAAAGCCTGTGCTTTGTCAAAGTTCGAAGGCAACAACTATGCTGACGCCTCTGGAAGTTCACAGCTATAATGCAAATGTTTTTCCTGTTAATGCCCTTGATCTTCGAGTAATAAACATAGACCTAGAATACTGACTTCAGTTAATGCGTGGCCTATTTTTAATAATTTAAAATGTTTTCTAAATGAAAGGTCATATTTTTATATTTTTATTATCAACTTACCATTTGGAAGAGCTGTAACTTTTTTGGTCTGCACACGAGCCGTGGCGTTGTTCACCTTTTTTTTTTTATTGAATTTCAATTTATTGTCCAAATGTTCCCGCGGTGGAAGAGTTAAAAATGATACAAACATGTTAGTATGCACATACACAGGTATTAATGCTTATAGACGTGAGTACAGAGATTGCATGCATATTAAAAACTAAAGTGGATTCTTTTAATAATAATACATACATACATTATGAGTACCTTAATGCTATACATAAATGCTGTACGTAATTTTCAAAATAACTATTGATGCGGTAATTTTAATTGAAATTTGCTTACTCTGAGGAAGGCTTTTATTGTGCAACAACAAAATGTACATATGTATATCGCCCAGTCGATGACGTCCAGTTTTCCATAGCTAGAGTACTCTTTAGTTATTTTCCCGGTCATAGCTGAAAGTTTGTATTCATTTTCAAAATATTGTGTTTGTTGCGTTCGCTGAGTAGCGGAAAAGTGGGGCGCCTTTGTAGGCGAAAATTTCAATTATTCAGTGAAAAACTGCAGCAGATAATATTGCAACTTGCAGAGCAATTATTTATAAGAAGGAAATTGAAAAACGTTCAAATATTATTATACCACAGCTAATATATGTACATACATACATATACGTATTTACATAAACACGCAGATTGCATATGTATGTATATATATGTATATGTAAACGCATCCGTATTGGATACAGGCAGGCGTACATGGAAGCTACGTACATACATATGTACATAATTTAGCAGAAATGTTGGACAAAGCAAGAGCCAAAAAGTACCGCATTATTAATAATAAATTACATACATATGTATGTAGATGCACCACCTTCCACCACGTGTCTGTATGGTTAGGATATGAAATTCTACTACACTCCATTTGGTGGCTGCCCAAATCAGCGGCAGCAACATGCAAAGCAAAATAGTTCAATGATTTCATTTGAAAATCAGCGGCCAAGAGAAGCATCGAATTTAAACTGAATTTGAACAAATTCAACAACTCTTGAAACCCAACTAAGTACAAATGTATTTATCTACAGAGAGGCAAGGCAATGGTGTCCGCATAAAAAAATGCACAGGAAATAACAAATGAAAATATGTACATACATATATAGATTGTGGGTGTTAACACTTGCCTGGTTATCAGGTGATTATTCTATAGTGTAAATATTTTGGAAGGTGCCTCAAACCCTATCTCGGAAACCATTTTTTTTGGAACCACTCTAATGTACATACATATCGAAAGTCGATGTTTCAGTAATCATCTCCGATCAAAATTAAAATCGTACCTTGTTAAACTTTCGAGAAAACTGTGATTTTAATAATAGTAATATATAGTATGTATATTAGACTGACCAGAAACAATTGAAGGAAGAGTAATTTTAACCACTTGAGGCAGAGGCACAAAACGTCCACGCGAGACTTCTAAATGTTTATATTTTTGGACCAAATTTTCAGGGAATAGTTTTTAGCCCGAATGGAAGCTAAAACGGCAAGAGCATCAAAAAAGAAGCACTTTCACTTGTTTCTGGTCAGTCTAATATACATACATATATATTATTATTATTAAAATCACAGTTTTCTCGTAAAGTTACCAAGATGCGATTGCAATTTTGATCGGATACGATTACTGAAATATTGACTTTAAATATTCTGCAACAATATCGGGAGTGGTTTTCATGTGGGATTAAAAATGTTGCTACACAACCGTGACTACATAAGATAGAGCGAAAATGCATAGTACATCAAATTCGAAAACCTCTCCATTAAAACGTACATAACCCGATGGACCCGCCTCCGAACGGCAAATGGGTTGTATGCGACGCTTCTTAATGGAAGAAATACACTCGAAGGCTTGCCATTGCCTGCCGAGGGGCGGCCGCTTTTCCAATTTACATAGATGTTACTCGGACTAGGGTAGAGCCCAGGTCCCAGGTAGTGGTAGTATATCTATAAACTTATAATTTTATGTAAATCGCATATTTTTAGTTGTAATTACTGTTTCTACTGCATTTGCCCTCAACACTACACTAGTAAGTACGTATGTATAGGTTGATATGCGTGAATTTACTTGCATATACATATGTACAGTATCGGTCATATCTATAGCACGCCATTTCCCAGTGATATTGTGTGCCCCTTATGTTTATTTATTTTTAAGAATTTTCGATTAAAATTTAGTTCATTCTCAGACAAACCCCATATAAAGCCAAGTTCAACAATTTGTAGAAAACTACAAAAAAGTGTAACAAATTTTCACCTAAATTTTAAACTTTTTTCTCGGAAGTGTTAGAATTTTTTTGAGTACACAGTTTTTTAGCCCCTTCAATTTTAGTCTGATAATGTGCAAATTTCAAGTGGCTACGAATCGCCGTTAATTTTTTAGAATTTTTTTTTGTCGCATTGGCTTCCATATAATGAATAAACTCAATTTATTTGTATATGGATGAAAACCGCAACACCTTTGGCGAAAAAAATTCTAAAAAATCAACGGTAACTTTTAGCCACTTGAAGCTTGCACATTATCAGACTAAAATTGATTGGGCTATAAAACTGTGTATTCAGAAAAATTCAAACACTTTCGAGGAAAAAGTTCGAAATTTAGGTGAAAATTTGTTGCACCTTTTTGTAGTTTTCTACAAATTTTTAAACCTGGGTTTATATGGGTTTTGTTAGAGAAAGAACTGTATTTTAATTGAAAATTCTTAAAAATAAATAAATCAACATAAATGGCACACAATATCACTTTGAAATGGCGTGCTATAGATATGACCGATACTGTATGTACATACGTATGTACAGGGTGGGCCAAATAAGACCTACCAATATTAAATACGTGTAACTTCTTCATTTTTTAGTAATAATAATAATAATAATAAGAGATTGACTCTTACACATATGTTAGTGTTTGGCCGAGCTTCTCCTCCTGTTTTTCGTGGCAGAAATACACTCGGAGGTTTGCCATTGCCTGCCGAGGGACGACCGCTGTTAAGAAAAAACCTTTTTCTATATTTTTGCGATGTTGCTTTGACCAGGGTTTGAACCCTGGTGCTGCGGAGTGGAAGCGCGCACTGCTTACCACTACACCACATTTATTTATATTATTTTTTAATATTATTGTTTTTTCTTTTTGCCTGTTATAGTTAATCTTTCGGAAAATCATAATGGATATTTACAGCAAGACCACCAACAACGACTACAAAACACTATTCGTTTTACACGATTAGCCACACAAATTGATTTTTTAGGTAATGTTTTGATGTCGGATGAAACGTATTTCCAAGCAAAACTCCAGATGCACTGTTTGGCGCGGCGTTATGGCCGAAAAAGTTATCGGCCCATATTTCTACGCGAATGAGGATGAAACGCCAGAAACGATTTCTCGGACTTCTTACAGAATAATGACTGACAACTTTTTGCGGCCAACGGAAGAGCAGCACCCTAATTTGTGGTACCCACAAGATGGAGCGACTGCGCACACTTCTGGACGAGCTATGGAGCTATGAACTATGGATGGTAGGTCTTATTTGGCCCACCCTTTACAAATGCAGTTATTTACAGACATAAGTGTGCGAGTGAATCCTTGTGAATGTTAACCGTATTTGGTCCAAAACCCCAGCCACTTTGTCAACTTTGGTGGGTTGCCAGCTTGGTTGACACATGCAAATTGCTTAACAGTGATGGCGGAGGCAAAGTGGGCATTAAATTAAATGGCGATGAGTTAGGCAAATGAACATTGCACGCCTCCGTTGATATAGTGGGCCACCCTGCAAAAATCGTTGGACCATGTGGTCTATTTGTGCCATATTGGACTACTTAGAAAGTGAAAAGGAAGAAGAAAAGGACCAATTCGTGGCCCTACACCATAATTGATCGTTTTATCGATCGAAATCCATACAAAGACGTTTATTGGGCTGTGCGGCCAAGAGGTAGGTATTCCATGGAGTAATCCCTTGGAGTCGTTTTGTGCTACTCTGATGTAATGCAGAGCTGGAGTATATAAGGCCCTGCCCTAGGGCATCGGAATGTTAGTGTGTGTTCAGAAATGCATCAGTCTCTTTTATTTCTAAACTATAATTGATGTTTTTTTTTCAATATGCTCACCACTGTTATATGCCTAATTGGAACTTAGTTCCGTAAATAAGATATTTCCATCAATTATATTTTAGGAATAAAAGAGACTTTATGCATTTCTGAACACACCCTTAGTTGGACCAAATTTTTCGTATGCATTGCGGTTAATTTCGGAGTAATCCTTGGCCCTTAGAAAGTACTCGCGATTTTCGCAGGTCCAGTTTAAAGCTCGCACATAAAAATACATAGACGACATATACATAGATACATATGTACGTAAAATCGCCGCTACCTCAGGGGTTGAACAATCAGCGGCTCATTTCGACAGATTTCGAGGATGTTTGCGTTCATCCATATGATCCATGGAAATTAGAATTTTATTCTTAGAATAAGCCAACATTGCTGAGCACTAATCTCTCAAATAAACAATCACAATTCACAATCTAAAATAAATAATATAAAAAAAACTTTTTAATATACAACGCTTTTATAAATGGACTAAAAAGTAGAAAATAATATTTCTCAGTCCCATAGAATTTGTTTTGATAACTTTTGATTTTGAAATTTTAGCAAAAGTCATTATAAACAATCTATGAAATTGAAAATGAAAAACGTGGCATCTAGCGGCCTCTTTTGTGCGGCGTTGTGCTGGCGTGCTGATTCTACCAGCTAAGTGTCAGCAACATGCGCTGTTTTATTATTAGAGCCGTTGATGTTGCACACATACATACATATGTACATCTGTCTGTACATATATACACATTTTCATTTGCACGCATTTAGTTTTGGCTAACCTAAGGCGAATCTACCATTTCGCTCCCACACTTACACACACACACACTCCTACGCGCAACCAACTGTGCGTTTGTTTCAGGGTTTGCGATTTAGTGCGCCAAAAAGCATGCTTGTCTTTTACAAGCGCTCTTCACACCAAAGTAGGTTATGTCGCTAGCGT